AGACATCTTACTTGGAAGCCATACCTATCGCCCTTTCTGCTAAGGTTATTCGACGTCTTCATCTCCTCCGTTCTCTCACCGGTACCTTCTGGGGCCTGAGCCCTCCTCTTCTGCTATACACATACAAGACATTTATCAGACCCTGCTTAACCTATGGACATACAGCCTGGATATCTGCTTCTCTGACCTTCTACTCTCGTCTCCAGGTTTTGGAGCGTCATGCCCTCCGGCTCGCCTTTGGCGTCAAACTCCCTAGTCCCACTTCTGACCTTTATCGCCGTATCAACTTTCCTCACATTTTATTACACCTTCGACAGCTTCGCACTCGCTATGTTAATAAATGTTTTCGTGACCACAATCTCATCTCCGATGTTCTCGCCACCACTGTACCCACTCCGAGAAATATTTTTGCACCAGCTGATCACCTACTGAACCTCTATGTCATGTCCCTCCCAGCTGACAATCCCGACCACGTCGAGATGTCGATGTCCCCTCTTCCCCCATTTAACTATCCTGATTCATAGTACTCGATATACCTGTTGCCAGTTCCCACACAATCTCCATTATATTATATAGACTGGTTAGTGTTCACCCATATTTCTCCGGATTGTCTTCTCCATCTGTAAATATCGCATTTTCCCCATTTTCCGCCTGCTGTGATGACTTGCACGCTTACCCATCTATTATTCAATTTACCCATTTTTTCTTTTTTCGTCCCTTGGCTGACGAGAGGGCTTAACCCTCTACCGGCCCGCCGGTCCTCCCGGGATCGTAATGAAATAACGCTTACGTTGTTGTCAGATAAAACAGAAGCTAAGCTCAGAAATATGTATGTATACAGATATCCGTTTTAGGTTGACATATATTATCCATTCAAATCCTGTTAATCCAAAATATAAACATAGCCTTTGCTCTACTATAGAATGTTCATGACTCCAGAGATGATCGTTAAACTTCACATTGACCTGTAAAATAGGTCATATAAATTTAATCTCTTTTTGATGCTATAGTAATCCAGTATTTGACAAAATAATCACAATTAGAGGCAAACTTAATCAATTCATAAAGCGATATCACATGTGCTTAGGGTTTAAAACGATCATGGCGTTGTTTATTTTTCTTTGCATTTTCAGGCCCATTTTTGCATTTCATAGTAAAAAATAAATTAGTTTTAAATTCACAAGTTCGAAAGCGTATGAATATGATTTAAATTTTAAACTTTCAGAGCTTGTATACGAAGTATTTGAGCAGTTACGTTATGCTGCTCTTATAATAAATATACTGACATAACTTTTTGCATAAAACTGCACCTACTGGCGTTTAGGACTTTGAATAAAACGTGAACCGTTTAAATTTAATTTTGATGATAATCCTGAATATTTCAAAGAGAATTACAATATGCAAATTTGGCATCATTTGTTTAAAGCGTCATCTCTAGACATCGTACAGAATAATACCTATTAGTTCTCTGTTGTAATATACTAGCAGCGTTAAGCGGCTTTGCCCGGTTTTTGAAGGGGGGGGGTATCTCTCTTTTCCGTTCCCGTCATTATTCGTAGTGAAGAAAGTTTATTTGTAGTTAATTATACGGTAACGTAAACTTACGTTACGTAGTACGCACTA